CAGACCACCAACCAAAAAAAAAAAAGCCAAAAAAAAAGGCCAAAAAAAATCACCCCTCTTTTTCGTAGTCAACGGCTACGCAAGTGACAGAACTGTTCATGGTGCTGTGCTCTGTTACCACCCATAAAGTCGTATTTCTTTAGTAACCTGAAATATAGTTTCATTGATATAACGCAATCATTCTCCTACTTCTCTACCATGAAACAGCGTTGCTGAAACTTTGGTTCTATTGAAGAAGCATCTTCACACTGTAAATTTGCGGAACCAACCAGGCACCCAAAAGGCTGCAACCACCTTTGTCACTCACCTAAGCCATGAAGCTGCAAACATCTAAATCCGAAACCCTGGCCCAGCCACCAGTTGTGGCACTATGCACCAGTTGTGGCACTATGCCCCTGGACTTGGCCCCGTTCTCCATAGCTGTGGGGGGTGAACACTTCAATTGTGCCTAGGCGAGCAAAGCGAAGCTGCCATCGGATCCCTTTGCGAGCAGGCTTCGTCATGTTTTGTCAGAACCCCTTGCCCCTTGAGGTGTTTTCTGCTTCCTCATAGTGTGGTCCATTGCGCATAATGGCAATGGCTTTAGAGCTTCATAGGGTTTTGGGGCTTTGGGGTTTAGGGCTTCATGCACTTAGGATAGTAGTAGCAGTGTTGGGGTTCCGGGCCCTGTGAGGGGCGCCAGATTTAGTTTCGGGGTGTGGGAATACACACGAAGGGCTTCGGGGGTTGGACTATACGATACGTTCTTACAGGGGCCGGAGGGATACTTCGGGGCCGTTTATGCAGGCTCTTGGAGTTGGAAGTTCTGGGCTCTGGGTTCGTGGCGACGTTTGGAGGGTCATCAATGAATAGGCGCTGATTCGTATAGAGGCCGTAACATCTAGAGCAGGGTCTAGAATCTAAGGCTTTGTATTAAACACTGTACAACCGAAATAAGATGATTGATCACTAGTTACTGGTTATTCAAACCTTTTAATCGCGTTTCATCCTTCGCTCGCCCGAGATAGCCACTCAGCTCGTCTGCAAACAAACAACGCCTTGAACTTGATGTAGTATGCTTTACGAAGCTACCGCCACCACCACACTCACCCCGACCCCTTCCAACACCTCCACCACGACCACCACTTCCCCAAAATTCCAGGGTGTCAAGGGCAGTCTTCACGGGCCCAGTGCCGATTGTTTGCGCAGTTTAGAAGCGCATTGGCTTCTCTCGTGGCTGATATTCACATCGCGGTGAAACGTCAGAATCTCATCCACCTCCGGCCGGAGTTGGGAAGGTGAATATTGATCTTTTTGTTTGCACAAAATATTAATATGTAGAGTAATGGGATTATTAAAATTGATATTCATATGCATTCAAGCTAATATTGCTGGTATTGCGATAAATATTTTGCGTATAGTGAGTATTCGTATCAACTTTAAGATTAGTACTATTGCTATTACTGCTACCAGTACTATTGTTACTATGGTTATGATCATTACTATTACTGTTGATATCATATCTGGTATTGTTCTAGGGGCCTGAAGGCTCCCTCCTGCTTAGTATTGATAGGTTCTATGTTGGACATTTGAGTTGGACTTTAAATCTTTGACACTCCCAAGTCGGGTTTACCAGCTTCGTTGCCCAGGGATTTGGCAGTTTCCGGGTTCGGGCTTCAGGGCCACTGGCGTAGTGAGGGCTTACAGAGCTTTACAGTACCAGCACTCCCCTAAACTCTAAACCCTACAGGCCAAAAACCCTCGAGCCCTAAAGCGGCAAACCGCGACGTGGAAACAAGCTGAAGTGAAATCCTTCTGCCCGGCCTTCCTGCAGCCGCTGGCCGCGACAGCTGCAGGACCTAAGTATGGCTATGGCTCATTCTTGTGGGTGTTAGGCTTTCGGGGAAGGAGGAGCCATGTCAGCGATACTTCAAGCGACATGATGCTGGCACATGCTAGAACTCCACCAAAAGCCTCCGTAAACCCTGCGAAGCATCGGCTGGGTCGAGCCTACCGAAGGGCAGGGTTAGCTCGCTTCTCATAGTGACATAATATGCAGAGAATCCAACATCCCAACTTGAAAATATCCAAATTCACTCAAACATGGATCCACAATAAATTCAGGGTCCTTGAGTAATGACTTGGCAGCGTGCTCAAAGAATGGATCCTTCCCTAATGAAGCGTCACTGAAAACTGTCACGCTATAGGGTTCCTCAAAGATGGATCCCTAATGGAGGTCTCTGCATAAGAATGAAACATGCTGACGCGGCGTCTATGAGTTGCTTACTGCGTGGGAGTTTCTGAGCTTTAGAACGGCATAGCCCTATGCTATCGAGGAGAGATAGCATGGGGACAAAAAATCAGGGCCTCATCAAATTTCTTGCATGGTGTGCGGAGCATGCCCCTTGGGGGTACCTGGATCCTTGTAACATGCATATATATATATATGTATATATATATGTATATATATATATGTATATGTATATATAAATAATGTAAATATGTAAATATGTAATTTCATACATATATGCATCCCCCCATTCCTCCATCCATCTACCACATCCATGAATCCATGCATCATGCATGCATAATACATACATACCAAACAGACCGAGCCCCGACAATCTACGCAGCCATCTGTAACATGGAAGCCTCGCACAGGCTTCATGTCGAGCGGCCGTGGATGTGCCAGGATGCTTTCCGAGTCCTGGTTCGAGCCTCCAGAGCTCCGGGGGCTTATGGTCGAGGTAGGGCATTTAGGGTTTAGAATGCAACGAACTATGGGACTTGCGGGGTTCCGGGGTGAGTGCTAAAGATTTGTGCTGCGATCTATGCCGCGGACATCCGCGCGATGCACCACAGTCGCAGCGCCTGGACATCTTGTTCTGGAACCATGAAACCTGCCACGTCCAAGAGGGAAAACAGTCAACCAGCAAAAAAGAAAACCCTTCTCGAACCGCCTTCAAAGTTGCCTGGGGCCCAGACGCAAAGCGCAAAGATTCAGTTTCAGCCTGACGGAGTGTGGCAAGTCCCACTTTTGTTGGACCAGTGCTTTGCACTTTGCTTGGGCGGCACAAGTAAGATGAAGAAATGAGGTGAACAAAACCTCCCAGCTTGCAACTTGATGATAGCGGTTCTGACATGCCGGAACCCCCTGGCAAATAGTCAACGTCAATGTGTGCGAATCGAATGGCCTTTCCTGTATGAGGGCACTAGATTTTGGGCCCACAACATGGGAAAGCTTGACCTCCAAACTCCAAACACGCAAAGAAAGGGAGTTAGTACTACCAAGTTCGCTTTGCACGAAACGAACTGCCCCCATTATTACAACTTCGTACAGGTATCGACCAGCCTCCACCGGCAGGACAGCCACATGGCGAACAAAGACTATGAAACGAGATCAATGGCACGTCTGCCAGGTGCAATGCTTCCATTTGCGGCATGAGTGCTGCAGTGTTGCGGGCCAGCTTGATTGCATGCATGCCTTGCAATGCCTGAGCATGAACCGAAATTCTGGGTCGGAGTCGCGGAAACCGAAACTTTCAACAGTCAGCTCATGTATGCTGCGTGGGTGCGCGGAAGAGTTGTGATGGCACGCGGAGCAAATATGCATATGTTTAGTTGACAGTTGAAGGCTATACCGTCTGCTCACCAACATACATGCAGTCTGCACCCCCCCACGCACACACATACAACTCCAACTCCATACACATTAAATCGAATCCACATCAAGTACATCAAGCGACAGAAAAGCACCAATAGTAATGAACTCGTATCAAGCAAAACCTATGCAAGAGGCCGCATCCTCTCCAAAAAACTTCACATCTTTGCAATGTTTAGGCAATCACATTGAAGAGCCTGTTCGTCATAGTCTTAGTAAGACTTCTCAAGTTGTTTTTGGGACCATGCCGCTGACAAATGTTACCCGAACGCGATGGCCGACTGTGGCAAATCCAACCTGCGACACAGCACGGCGATGAGAGAACTTGAGCTCGTGACTTGCTACCAAAGTTATTGATCCATCAAAGAACCACTTGGCTACCAATGACTGGCAACGGTCATGCAGCTCATGCCGCCAGTTTTTTCCAACCATGTGCTTCTGAAGTGGGCTGCATCGGTTCACGAAAGGGCACGACCTGGCTTGCAATCGACCACGAAAGACTGGCATCCGCAAACCAGGAGCAATATCACCACATGACAACGAGCGGTCCGTTTCAAGTCTGCTGAAACCATCAGCGTTTGCATCATCTTCCTCCTCCTCCTTTTCATCACCACCGTCGTCATACCACGTAAGGGTTTGGGATTGCCAACTTATCCATGCACCCATCCATTTTCAAGCCTGTCCATTGCAAAGGCTAACTGTTCCGTAATTGGTCTCACCGGTCCTTTTATGTCGCAGGCTCCCTTTTAACACCCTGAGGTCTGAAGCCTGAACCTGCGAATCGATTCTCCTAGGCTTCGAAATTTGAATCCCTGGACCTGAGGATCTGTAGCTGTAGGGTACTAGTAGGCATTGTGGTTATCTCACATCAGTCATGAATGCCGGCAGACGCTGGTTTAGGCAATCCCTGAGCCCCGAACCGAAACCTTGAACCCCGAACCCTAAACCCTCGACCCTGCATTGGAAGAAGCAGGATTTGTTGCCCACCGTTTGTGCCCGAATGCAACAAAATTGGAAGAAATACAATTTGTTGCCTACAGCTTGTGCTGGAATGTAAACTATTGGTCGAAGAATATAAAGTGTTGGAGCAAGTACGACTCGTTGCTCCCACAATTTGTTCCCTGTGTTTTGGCGGGTTACTGTACCCGGTTCTCGTGCTACGCTTTCGCAGTTGGCAGCATGCATTGAATTTTTGCAGCGTTGCAGGTTGGCAGCGTGGCTTGTTGACTCACGGCTGTTGGATGTCACAGGACATTCAAGCTTCGCAGCCGGTGTTTGCGTTCCCTGCCTAGTTCCATATTACCAGGCGCATTCTTCCAATGCGCTGCATGTACAGACTGCTGGAGCGTCTGTTGTTGATTCCGTGCCCTGGAAAGGAATACGTAGATATGCCGGTATTCAATGCAGACGGAGGAAAAACAGCTCGCGACCAGGACCAGAGCGACACAGACAAGGACGTCAGAAAGCACGGCGGATGTAGCGATACAATGTGTCTTGTTGTCTGGGCGTCTTGTGCCTTTCATGGTCGCCGGTTTACAATTCAGGGATTTTGCGGCTTGAGATTTAGGGCATTTAGGGTTTAAGGCCTGCTTTTGAAATATGGGTTCAAAGCTCTCGAAAGGCTCCTGGACGTCGGGTTCAGGGCCGGAATGTTTTCGGTGTTTTTGGAAAGCTGTAACGGATTCCAGAACGAACGTCCGATTCCATTCGGGTACACTTGGGTACATCTTCGCAGCCCCTCAAAAGCTTGAAACGAAAGTCTTGAATGTTCTTCTTGATTCTTCAATTGAGTATGGAAATGCAGTCCGAATGCTGATATCTTTAAGATCGGGTTGAAAAGACCATGACAGCGGCTTGCTGACGAGATGCGTTGAATCCTCGCGGTGGGGTCGTCGTACACGTTCCAGTTGCCACTACTACGGTGCAATCGCAGGATAACCATATTTCATCTTCCAAGCTGTCACGCAACAACTACAATTGCCAACACGACGGCTGCTCCTGATTTTGCTGATACCACCGACGCTACTGAAACTGATACCACTACTACTGCTGCTTCTGCTTCTGCGGCCAGTACTGATACTACTGATACTACTGATA